CGCAGTGATGTGGGAGCAAGATGCAGCATCTACTAACTACTCACCAGTTATTACACCACGACTTTGTGGTAAACTGAACAAGTGTCATTACAGCAAATAAAACCACGTAATCCTCAGATATTAACTAAAATTACCAGGAAGTCAGTTGTGTACTGACGAAGTAAAGAAACAGAAAATGTTACCTTCAAAGATATGAATGCATCTTCTTAAACCATCTTCAAGATTAGCTACCATTGTCAGTATGCCAAATTGATTACTTTATGCTATACTAGCTTATTTTACAGACTTAACTTAAATTAACAAAACCTCATTTCTTACCGTTGTACACAGCTATGTTTAGCTAGTATTCGGTGCTTGCAGGCGGCAGGCTCGACCGACAGGAAAGTCAAACCACTACAGGTGGACTGAACTAATTCGAAACATCTCCAAACTTCCTGAGCCTATATAGACTATGTCATTACAATGAGATAATATCTCATTATCAGCACTCAGTTAGTATCTCATTATTTTGAGATGCTATCTCATTATAATGAATTTTTTTTTTTTTTTTACAGAGTGACAGAAACGGGCTTCCATAAGATCAAGACTAATTCATCCATCTCTTTATGAACCTTGCTTTGTGTACTGGTGGGCTGTCCTGTAGGAACAGGGAAGAGCTTTCCTAAACTGTTTCCACTTTTCAAGAGCATAATGTCCAACATGTCTTCTTATGCTGTAGCATTATCTGTTTCTTACACTGAAACTATGGGGTTGAGCCCAACTCCTGATAAACAACCCCACACCATAATCCTCTCTCCACCAAACTTTACACTTGACGCAGTGCAGTCAGAACATTGCCATATTCCACAATTGCCAAGCTCTACTTTTCCATTAAGAGACATACATATGATTTATCACTCTAGCGAGCACATCTGGTATGTCCAAGGCTTTGTGCTGCAGTTGGATGCCGCTGCTCAGTCATAGAAAACCATTCCACTGTTCCTAAACTAGTTAAGTCACTAACTCTGCAAAGTTGGTGACTCCAGCACACTGTTTGCCTCAGGTTGTGATGTCCAGGACTCAGTTATTTTACATGGCCTCCTACTTTGTAGTTGTGTTGCAGTCATTCCTAATCACTTCTACTTTATGTTGCCAATAACAGATGACTGTGAAATATTCAGTAGTGAGGAAATTTCACAGCTGGACATATTGTACAAGTTGCTTCCTATCATGGTGCTGTGCTGGAATTCACTGGTGTCCTGACAGCGACCCATTCTCTCCCGGATGATTGTAGAAGCAGTCTGCATGATTGATTAGCTGCTGGTGGTGATAGAACATGACAAGTCAATGATTTGGAAAGGTGATTACTTCTGCTGATACAGTTTAGCTCTATTGTCAACCAAAGCATTATTTGTGGCCTTTTTGTCAAAGCCCATGGTAGCTTCCACCAAAACCCTGTTTAACAGCCTTCCACCCTTCACCTGAAGCTTCACAGACCAGTCTCTACTGGTCTCCATGATGTGTAACTTAGCCCTAGACAGGTAAGGGCGTCAAGACCCCTTTCTGCCCATCTGCCCTAACCGCCCCCACCCTACTTCACTTTATATTTATTTTGGTTATTTAGTGGTTTTTGTAGATAAATGTTAAATGATGCTGTGTCTTTTGGATAATCCATGCATGAACATGCCTGTTTTCCTGCATGTGCGTGTGTACCAAAACTACAATAACCAGTAATGGTGAAAATTAAATACAAGTTCTTTGAGATTTGATAAAATGAGTTGTACTTAAAGAAATAAACTCCCTAGTCTTGCTGGCTATTTGCTGACTAAATCCTAGATAAGCAGAAGAAATACAACGATGAAATGACTTGACAGATTAAAATTCTGAACTGAAAGCATGAGATTACTTTTTATACTGACTTGAAGATGGTGCTGATCCTTTGTTTCTCCTCAGTTTTTTGTCTCATTTTGATTTCAGTTTTGCAGGAGCTTCCTTAACTTCCTTAAATATTTTATTATTATTTGTGAATATTTAAATAATAAAACTAAAGTTCATTTTCATATTCTTATTATTTTTAATATGCCTTTGACTCTTCCCCCCTGCAATCTTTTAATCCAAATCATTTCATTTTCTTCTTTTCAGCCTTATTTATCCAGACCAAGGATATCAGTGTTAATGCTCATAGTGGTTCAGATGGTTAAATCAAAATCTAACTCTGGTTATCAATCATTGCATTTCATGAGTTTTCTAAAAGCCTGTTCTCTTTTTCAATTATTTGATCTTTCTAATTTTATAACCTGTTCTCCTTTTCAGAAAATGCTCTGGATCCAGGTTCAGATGAAACTGAATTTGAGGTACATGAACCTCTACTCTTGTTTTCTGTGCACCTCCCATTTTAGCTTTTATGTGTACAGCTCATCTTGCTATAATAACTTACAATCTCCAATTTCACATACAGGGCAACTATGAACCTGACTTGTCCTGGAATGAGGTGGACCAAATCAGGAACAATAATTTAAACTGGGGTACTGCAGACTCACCAAGGACCACAACATCAGCACCACCTTGGTTTCACTTGCCTGGCATTGGAACTCCTACAGAAGAGTCCAGTGAGAGAAGAACCACTACTGAACCTGCTTCTGCTCTACTATCCAGTCAGTCTGGTGAAGTTTTAAGACCCTCTGAGGAGACAGGACCCATGAGTACTCCCTTACAACCACCAGCAGACACTAAGTTGCCAGAGAGCAGAGGGAGTGCAGGCACTGGTAGCAACACTCTTTTTTATTTCACAACAGAAGAAGCCCCAATTTCAACTTCTCCCTCTCCTCTTCTCACATATATAAAGACAGATGGTGTAAATGTACAAGAACATCATGAAGACTTATCCAAAAACGGAAAAGTTGTCCCAAGCACTGTTAACCCTATAACCCCTGACACAAAGACAGACAGTTCAAAAGTTATTTTTCAATATCCACCTACCATAGAGTCATCTCTCACCACAGATATGAGCAGTAACTCATCGCCGTCCTTTAAGCAAGCCGAGACTGATCAAGGTTTGGCACAAGCCATAAGTGAAGACAGTACTACTGATGAGAATGTTTCTACTCATACCAGAGGTTTTCCTGAGATTCAGATATCACCCTCTACTTCCAAGACCTTTTCATCCACAGAAGCTGAACACCATAGTGCCACAAGTTCCACCATGCCTCACTTTTCATCCCCATCTGTGGTGCTGAGTGGCATTGTTGTTCAATCCACGCAGCCACTATCAAACGGTGAGCGTAGCTCTCTCTTCCCCTCCTCTTCCTTTGCCTCCTCCCCTATGTGTGACACCTTGGAGCCAAGCGCCACTCTCTCCATTCGCTTGCATGACCCTTCCTCCCTGTGGCCTGTGTCGTCTGCCAGCGCTCCAGACTCCCAGCATGCTGCTAATGGATTTCTGTCTAGTGAAGACCTGACTTCTACCTCAATCCCTTTCCTCCTTGCTTCCACCCTGCCTCACCCCTCTCACCCTTCACGTTCCCTACCTGGTCCAACAACTGACTCTGTGTTCTCTAACCTCACTTTTTGGGATAGTGATAATGATGTTTTGTTGTCTGGGTCTTCAGGTGATCTCTCTGTACTTAGTAATACCCCTCCACTCAAATCAGTGCTGGACCTAACACACGCCAGTGTCACAGCCGAATTTTCACAAACTTCCTTGAATTTTTCATCCTCAACATTATCTCTTTCTTCCAGCCCTACCCTACAGCCTTCAGTCGCTTTTTCTAGTGATTTCACTTTTTCTCTGGGCTTGTCCAAATCTCCAGCAACTGGATTTGAGGATTCAAGATATGCAACAGGGAGCAGCACAGAGTCTTTAGTTCCTGAGATCATTGGTGATGGGTTACTCCTAGCAAGCGATGTGGACATTGCTTGTGGCTGTTCTCTGGAGACATCAGCACCTTCATCATGGTTGCACACCTCTCCTCATGTGTCACTGTCAACATCATCCAAGAGCACTACAAGTTTAGAGCTATCCTCCAGCATGGTTTTACTTTCAGCTTCTGGTTCTAATGTAGAAAACCTTCCACTATCTCTGGAAAGTTTGGGCTCTGCTGCTCTGTCTTTTGACCACTCTCTGCTATCCCATAGTCCTATCTCAATGTCCTCTCCACAATTTCTCCAAGCCACCCATAGTGACCTGCATTTTTCTGTTACAGCCACATTGTCTGTTGTTGCGGATCCCAGTTTGTCAGCATCAGAGAGAAGCACCACCTTCCAAACCTCTTCCCTCCCTTTCCTGCCCACCACTTTCCCACTTACCCCCACTACAGAGGAGCAGGTGTTAGACTTTAGCAGCAGCTCCTCTGGCTCAGCCTTCTTCCCTGACTCGCAGGAAGGATCAGACCAGGAGTGGGATAAAGGTCAAACCTCAGCTTCTGGAGTAAGCCCACTTCCTCATTCAACCAAAGTCGTGAGCACTGTCCCTCCATTCATTTTGCTGGAATCTGGTCAGAGCCCAGATGATGTGGAGGAACACTCTTCAGCTTTCTATTTTGAAAGTGGCAGCGGCAGTGCCATCAGTCCAGAAGTAAGAGGCAAAGTGGCCCCGACTGATGCAGAGGTGACCTCGGGTTCACCCTGGTCTCTGGGAGGGACAGAGATTAGCGGCTCAGGGCAAGGCGAAGGCCTTAATGACAACGAGACATCTTCTGACTTCACTATTTCAGAACACACAGAGACAGAATCTGAGGAAGAAGACCCAGTCTCAGGTAAAAACAAAAAAAGCTGATGCCGAGAAGTGATAAACCCATCAGAGCAACAAAAGCCAAAGGGCCAGCAAGTGTTGTGGACATCCATCAGTGATTTTCAACAAAATTATATTTGATTTTTACATTGAAAAATGAAATGTAAAGGTAAACAAAAGCAAATTTATTCTAAACATTATACCCAACAACACTGAACATCATTATCTATAAAAGTGTGTTTTTACTTTGTTTTATTTATTATTTATTATTTCAGATAAAGTCCCAAAAATCAATAACATAGGAAGTAGGGTTTGGTTAGGAACTGCTCAAGATAAGACCTTTTATTTATTTATTTTGCTGAAATTGTGTAAAAAGATGGAAGGAATATTTTAAAAGTTTAGAGATTACATCTTTTAAGGAAGGTGTATGAATATGTAATTTATGGCTTTCACATGTTCAATGGCTTTGTTCTTAAGATCAAAACAAGGTCCAACTGAGATCTAACCCTTCTTGACATGCACACCAGAGGGCAGCAGAGTTCTTTAAAACCTCAGATGATTGTTGTGTGTATTTATTTTGATAGATAAACTATATTCACCATTTTGCTATTTAGATTTGTCAAGCAGTTTACCAAAAATGGCTAATAATTATTGCCTGGGAATACTGGTCCTAATATAAGAATGAAGAAGACTTCTACGTGTTTGCATGTTGTGCATCATAAACAAATGTAACATATTTCACTTTTTAATGCTCAGACAGAGTTTCAAAACAATGAATGACTTCATTAAAGATATCCTGCTGTTTTGCATCATTAATTGCAGAATGCCACATCTGCTTTAGAAGTGGTAGATTTCACTTCTCACCAGGGAACTGGTAATTGTTTGGTAATTGCTGGATTCATTCATAGAGAAATCCAGCCATGCTTTGTTTTAGGCAGATATTCCATCAGGGTGAGCACCATTTCAGTGTGATTTATATTGGGTATCATCAATGAACCCTGTCTTCATTATTTAGTTTGAAGTCTTCTCAGAAGGACCTTGGCGAGTCCATTTCTCTCATTGGACCTTAGGACCAAATGAATGAACCGTTTTCGTTCCTCTGTCAAAAACTTTGCAATTTGTTGCATAAACAGTGGAATCTGCAGTGTTTCCGATGGATAAAGCAAAATTCATGAGGTGACAGACTTGAAAGAAAATGCAGCTTGGTCTCTTTATGAACAGGTCAGAAAGGTCAACACAGTCATTAATGGTTGAGCTCGCTCAGTTTGTCCAGAAGAGGAACGTTAACTCGATCTGCCCCAGAGTTAGCAGGAGTTCCCTTCCAGATTACTAGGTCATGACAAAGTGTGACTTTGTCCTAAATGTACAGACTAAGGCCCTTTGAGTACCTGTGATGGACAAACAAAACATTCTGGGAAGAATAAAAGTAGGAATGGTAACACCAAAATGTTGTGTATTTACATTTGAAATCGGATAGTGCCTGACATTAAATTAGATAATACTTTTATTTATTTATTTTGTTTGTTCAATTAGGATTACCAAGATATTTTATTTGTCAAAATAATAGATGATAAAATAATAATCCAGAATAATAACTTCCCTCTAAATTCATCATTGCCTTTTAAACTACATTCCTTTGGTTTGGTGTTTTGGTCTAATCCTTCTGTAGGCAAAACGCTGCTGGCCTACAAACCTGACAGAACTCTTCAGGTTTGCAGGCTCCCTCTGGACTGAGACCTGGGCTCCAGAACACTGACTTTGTTGATGTCACACAGTTGCTAAATTGGCAGGACGATGCTTCTATATTTCCACATGATTTTCTTTCCTTGTGATGCAATTTATTTCATGAAACTCACCGGCAAGTCACTGACTCACTGGAATCTACTGGGTTTCCTGAGAAAACTGTGAAAGGGTGTTAAATAATATTTCATTTTTAAAAGTACTTTAAAGGCCAGGAATATTATACAATGTCATTCTGAGTTTACTAAAACGGTGTTGTGACCCAGAAAGCCTTCCCAGAATGCAACTTGCTTGCTTCACTGTCACTTTTACCACTGATGTGTACTCAGTGAATAGATTGCTTCAGTGTTTCCTACTGAGTGAATGTCTTGCTTTCCAGTTCTGTAAGATGGTCTATTTGGTGATAGAAAGAGAAATGATTAACACTTGCTGGTATTTATTTATTAATGGTGCTGTTGTTATGTCTCCCATCAACCAAAGTTATGGTGACACGGAGATTCTGCTTCTCAGAGTATCTCACAACATTTTTAACATCATCACCCAGAATACAGATGTTAGGTCTAAAGTGCATAACAGTAAATCTGAGAGATTTCTCTGACTGAGTTAGGTGAAGACCAGGAAGGATTTTCTGCAACTAATTGCAAAGCAGTTTTAAGGGTAAATGTATTTTTACAGAATTTAGTCTATATCTCACATACGTTTTCAGATTTTTTTTTCTGTGGGATTATCATGAGTCAGTGATAGATTCAAATTTTTTAATATGAATTTCAATCATTAGCAGGGGTGAAAGTAAACCGAGTGTTCGGATAGCGAACCAGTTACAGCTGCACTTTGAATAGATCTGCTAGCAATAGGCAGTCTGAAACACCAGTTCATCTGTTTATAAATAACATTTTTTCTTATTCCAAAATGTTTCTGAACTGTCCGAGCTGTCTGGAGCCTCTCCCCCTCCAGTCGCCCTCCTCTCTCTGTTTCTCCTCCCCGACCCCCGGAGCTCAATCCTTTCGTCAACAGGCAGCTGTTAAACATCTGCTTGCTACAAAATGTCACAGTTAAAAGCAAACAGATAATATCTAGTTGTGCTACATGTTATTTTGCTCATATACAACACAACACAGTGAGAAAAAACGCTTATGACCAGAGATTTTTTGCATGGCACATGCATCTACTTCCAGAAGATCGGTGCTGATTGGATTGGTGCATTTGATTTATTGACTGCGACATTTTACACAGGTGGTCTACAGACACAAAAAATGCCACTTGTGTTGGAATAGGGAAAACAATAAATCACTTACCATTTATAGACTCTAAAATAAAAAATGGGAAAATACCACAGGACAGTGAATTTTTAATCAAGCAAAAACAAAACTTGATAGCAACTAATTTGTTCAACAAAGGACAAACTACTATTGATGTTAGTTAGCATCACTGCAGACACTAACGTCAGAAAATCGTTTATCAATGTTAATACATGCCAGCTGAGGGCAAAGTACAAAACTAGCCAAAAGATCAATGTTGTTGTTTTTTCTGATGTTTTCTTATGTTTCATTTTATTCATTTGTGAATATGATTTCAAATGTAACTGAATAAAATACTTTACTCAAAACAAATTTAATTAAAAGTAAAAGTTCAATTTTTCTAAACAACTTAAAGTACAAAGTAGACAAATTGTAATACAGCAATGCAAGTAAATGTACTTAGTTATGTTCCACCGACTGTGTGCCAAGACCTTCAGAGAAAGAAACGGAGAGGCTAAACAATGAGCCCACGGCGATTTTTGTCATATTTCCAGCAAGAACTTATAGCTACGTTCACCCCTGGTCATTAGTGAACTTTTGCAGTTAAAGGCTTTCATTTAAGTTATGTTTCCTGGATAATTGTAATTTTTCAAGAAAAAGTCATATCTGTCACTGTCAATAGTACAAGAGCAATGGGACTACAACAGTTATTTAATTTCAGGAGAACAGTTAAAATAATGAATGTTGGAGCTGATCTCTAAAATGTTTTAAACATTAACAAAGAAAGGTTTTTGTTAACAACCAACAATCATCAGCTTCAGTTTCCCTCTCCCAGAGAATGGTTTCACATCTACCCGCCTTTGTTGACTCTGTGCAGATGCCAGTAACAGCAGCCATGAGTCCAGGGTCGGCTCCATGAGTGAGAAGGAGAGGAAGGCTGTGGTTCCTCTGGTCATCATTTCCACCCTCACTCTGCTTGGCCTGGTTGTTCTCATTGGCATCTTCATCTACTGGAGGTCAGTACCCCTGTTCCATCACACCTGCATGCTGCTTGCCAAACACCTCCATATTATTTTCTTTGACCTTCAAACAAAATCCCAAATTGATAGTCCCTTTATTTTATATCTCCATTCTGATGGTGCCATCCCAATCTAAGAAAGATACAAAAAAATTAATGACCCCAAATTTCAAAGGGGTCCACATTAAGGCTCCAGTATAACTTTTACAAACAAATTTGATAACTAGGAACAACCAAACAAAACCAGGAGATGGTTCATATAATAGCAGGCCATACTGAGTGAAAAGAAACAAATTCATAATATAAAAACTTTTTTAAATAACAAAACCTGAAGGGTGTTGCATCCACTTCTTTTCATCCCTTTTTAGTCAAGAATGTGTGGAGCTATCATTCTCTGGAAACGGAGCCAAAAGTTTCTTGGAGCATGTCTTTATCAGCATGTACATCATCTGCTTCTTAGGGACCACTGCTTTGCATATTTTAGGTGTTACACTTCTGAGTTGAATAAGTGAGTGATGAACAGGCTTCTACAGCACTTGATGGCTTCAAAGGAGGTGATGCAATAATTTAAAATCTATTGTTCTGAAACAGAGACATATATGAAATATGCAGGGCAGCGGTCCAGAGATGAGAAACACTGATCCAGAAGTTTAAAGTTTAGCAGCAATTCTCTTTAAAATTGCTCAAGATCAGTCACATTGGATGGAACATGCATGCCTTTTGACTAGGCCACTCTAGGACATAAATGTATTTAGAGCTGAATCATTTCTATGCAGCTCAGGTTGTTGTTTTCCTCCTGAAACGAACATCCACCCCAGTCTCAAGCCTTCTGCAGTCTATCAGGATTTCCTCCAGCTCTTCTATCATATGTTCTACTTTGTGCTGGTCAGTCAAATAAAGTCAACATATAATAAATTAAAGTTTATGTTTGTATTGCTGTTAAAAGTGATAAAGTTAAAATAACTTGAATTCTTTTGAAAGTGACATTATTTTATGACTAAAGAGCATGATTATTTGTTTTCAAACTTATCTGTGAATTTTTCTTTACACTTGACAAAGTCACTAGCTCTGCCCCCCTTCATTTCACACTCTTTGGTTTCTTCCAATGCACACGTTATTTCTCCTCATACTTATTTTTCTGATAACCTCACTCTGTTCAAGACAAAATACATATCAACTATGCTTCTATGTCTAAAAAAACATCCTACTTTTAAATTATTGTAATCTAAAAATCACTGTCCTGGTTTCCGTTTCTCACACTTACCAGAAGAGGGCAGCAGAGGTTGCCTTTGAGCATAACTGAAAGAATAGTAGATGAATAGAATGAAACTGGTTCCCGTTGCGCGTACATCCTGTACTCTTCTTTTACAAGATGTACGCACATCTTATAAACACAAAACGCGTGGCCATCTTGTTTTTACAAGATGTGAAAACAAGATGCACATTCTCTTCATTGAACACTTCTGATTAATGAAGAGAATGTTTCTCTTCATTAATCTCTAATCTGAGAGATGTAACATCCTCATCACTGACAACAGACTTAAATAAACAAAAAACACATTAAAGTAAATACAGTGGAACCTTTGGGAGTAAAATACATTTGTTCAAGCTGATTATTCCTGTTTTAACAAGTTTCCTGTATAAAAATAATTAAATAATAACTCTCTAACCTGCATTGGTGTAGGTTAAATATCCACACCTGTACTGTTCACCTAATTTATGATATGAACAGGAAATAATTATTTCAGTCTTTTAATTTTCATAATGAATTCTGCCTTGATGGTTTAACATTTATTCCAACATGAAACAAACTGCTTAAGAGTTGCTTATGATTTAGAAAATTAATCACAAATAATTACCATATAATACAGCCATTTTCATAAAACTAGAATATGCACTGAGATGATGCTCATTTGTTAGACCAAAAGTACGTTATAAAAACAGAGACCTTAATGCTGATTTTAAGCATATTTTTCACTAAACCCATATTTTGGTATGTCTTTGTTGCTCTGATGTAATGTTCTAATCTTAAATGTCATGTTTTTCTTAGTGATATGCAGAAAAATAATCACAATAGAAATAAAGGCTGAAAAACGTTAGTCTGTGTGTAAGTGCGGCAAGTTCTCACTAGTCTAGCCCCTCACAGCTCTTTCGTACGTAACACATTTCTTACAAAAAAAAGAGTTCTTGAATCTTTAAGTCTTTACTGGGCTTAATAAAAGGAAATAAAAATAACAAAGAGATTCAAAACAAATAGAAAGTGACTGTCAAGACTGTGTTACTCTCAAGGTGCCAGACTTTTACAATGAGCAGCTGCTCTCATCTTTCATAAACTAATTAGTCAATGGCCAATCAAAAGGCACCACGTAATAAGCTTAAACAAGATACAATTACAGATGCTTATCTTTTTCAAATAGCAGAGTAACAAATGAAACTCACGTAAATACAAAATAACATTTTGTATTAAGTTAAAAAATGTATATATTTCTCCTACACTGTGTATAATTATTCTGTCTGTATATCTATATATAAATCTAGTGTATATGTGCAATTTTAGTATTGTAAGTGTGTGTGTGAAAGAAAATATAGTTTTTAACCTATATGGCCCCTCATAGTTTTTTGTCAGTCAACTTATCTCAATGAAATTTCAGCTCACACATTGTTCATATGACACCAGAACATTCTTTGTGTTGCATTTAGTTTCAGTACCTGCACTGTTAATGTACAGGGTTAGTACTGTCTTGGAAGATGGACTCAACATTTCTTATGTTGAGTCCATAACATAAAGAAATGTTGTGGATTCAACAAAAAATGTCTTATGTGCTTTCGCTCCTGAGAGTCGGAACAGCGTGGTTTTATCTGTAGCCACCTCATGGTTGAGATACCAGTCAATATGGACGTGTGTCCCACTCACTCCCCTCTTAGTGTTTTGATTTGTTGGCACTAACAAGTGATGTTGTTTTTTTTCACACATGCAAAATATATATTTGAATTATTTTTTTTTTCTTTCACTCAGACTGTGAAATGACCATCTTCAGAAATCTGATTGGATATGCTGTCAGGCAGTGTTTAACACTTTTAGCCATTTTTTTTACTGACTGTACATTTCCAAGTAATTTTACAGGGCCACATCTGACTTAACTTGTTGTTCTTGTTTTGCACTCTGCTTGTTGTTGTATATCAAAGATTGAGCGGTGCTAATCCGGCAATAATCTGAGGAGCATGGGGATTAATCTTCAGCGAGGGATGTTTCTCAGCTGCAGCAATTTGAGCATCCACTCAGCTGATATGTCTAGAGAGGCTCACTGGATAGAAAATGACATCCGCCTGATTAGGCTGGTCCAGGGATTCGTGTCTCGATGTGATGATGGCAAGAAGCCAAACCTGTACTAATCTTCCTGCATTCGCCTCCTCTATTGTTCCTTTGTGACAACCCAGGGAGGAGCCACACAGCTTTGGAAAACATTGCCTGACTTGTCAATAGCCACAACATTGGCAATAAATTAAAAGATTATGTTAGGTCAAAATAACATCAAATCAAGGTTTATCGCCTGCACAGCTCTATAAAAATGAATGATTTGTGGTTTTGCTCTCAAACTCATTCTAAATGAAGTAAATATCTCATTACAAAGCATTCACCACAAACATTTATACCTTGATTACCAGGTAATCCTCTGAAATTTTTGTCACACACTGCTACACAATTAACTCAACCAGGCCTCACACTAAACAAGCTGTTCCTGCAGGTGGTCCGCAGGGTTGAAGTCAGGACAGCAGGTTGTTCATTCCATACTGTCCGCTAAACCCTGCTCTGGATGGACCAACACTACAGGACAGTCTCTATTGTGGATGTAGAATATTGAATGTGCACATGGTAACACTGGGCTTTCACAGATGCCATAGTTCTGGTTTTGCGCATGTGGGCGCTTAAGTTTTTTATTCTCTCATGTATGGTTCCACTGGGCAGTGTGCACTGCTGTGTTTGCTGATGGCTAACAGTCATTATAAAACCAAGTTATCTTTATTACCACATCCCACACCAAGGACTTCAGTGGTTTTGTGAACTATCTCCTGCTGTGAGTACTGTAGGTTAGTGTGGAACCATTGTTCTTTTCACAACATGGCGGACTGCTTCAGTCGGCCCCACCTGCTAGTATTTGATGGGATAAAACATATTTATCATAGCAGCATACTCGGACAAGCTGGAGGACAACCTCGACCCAACTTTCTTCTGAATCTGTCCAGGCCTGAGGCAACTGCATGTGAAACATCATTTGTGTATGCAGCTGAGATATGGGCGCCTGGTGGAGATGAGGACAAAGGAAGTATCCTGGTTTCTGCAGAATCTAGGGAGGACCCCATATGCAGATGAATATCACTATGGAGAGACACAAATTCAACACATGTAGACAAAGGGCTGGCGAAACTATTGAGCCATATGTCAGTGATTTGATAATAAAAGCCAAGCACTGTAATTTTGGAGGACTTTGTGAGAAGCTCAATAGAGACATGCTGGCCTGTGGCATCAATAACCAATGGCAACCATCTCAGGAAAGTGCTGTTATGGAATTGCATAGTGTCAATTTCACTATTAGTATGAACTTTTACAGTGTTCCCATGCTCTGACGCTGCTTATTTGACACTTTGGACATTTACTGTGTGTGATCTGTTGCTCACTAAGGCCATTCAATTATGTCAGATCCGTGAGTTGACTGAGAATCATAATAAAACATAAATGTCACCACATACCTTTATCACAACTGTAGATGCAGATTAAATCACAACTGGACAGAGATGAGACACTGACAAGGTCAGGTTGACATCAAACTGCACAATAACACCACACAGTTTATTACTGACTGTATTAATTGTTATGGTCATGTGGCAAAAAGGCACAAATGTCCTGCTTTTGGTCAACAGTGTAATCATGTAAGAAGATGAACCACTTTAGAATGTGTTGCAGGTCCAGGCCAGAGTTTGACAGCTGAAAGCACTGCAGCATCATCTTATGTGGACAGTAGATGATGCTGCATTGCAGACGTCTAATGCTACTGTGTTTGGCCTCTCATTACTGATATACTTTATCCAGCCTGACAGTCAATCTTTAGTAGAGATTTTCTGTCAGCAGTTCTGCTTGGAAATTACAGGATTCTAAACAGCATGATGCAGTTTCAATCTGTTACCACAGCACTGACATGTCAGTATCTCGTCATTTTTCCACAACTGAAAAATAGCAAATTTTAGTTGCTGTCCATAATGTCTTTGACTTACTCTTTAGACTTTTTTTAGCATTTCTGTATGATTTACTCACAATTTTGTGGACATTTTGAATATTTAGCTGAAATAAAACATAGAATAAATCTATGGGTCTAATTCCCAGCTATGAAAAGACAAAAATAACGTGTCTAAATGAGGTCGACCTCTGTTGTGTAAAATAATGTCTAAACAAACTGACTGACACTGGGATCTGCTTCACAGCTCAGCAAACTAATAAACCATTTCACTGAGATTTTATGAATCTGTATTGCATTTGATCATCTCTAGTTCAAAATTGAGAATACTGAAATAGATCAAATCTGAAGTGAATGATTTTTCTCTCTGGGGCATTTTTAGATTTTGGAAAAAAAATACTTTTAAAATGCTTTTTTAGCATTAGGACAACCACAACAAGTTAATGAGTCAAACTTGTAGTGGAGTATTCTACACTCATTATAGATTCTTTAAAAGTAAAACCAAAGAGGAGAGATGGTTGTTTTTCTAGTGTAAAAATACTGAAAGTCATTTTTATTGAACTGAGAAGAAAATGCTCTGTTTTGAACAAAAATAACAACAGTATGTCTGCAGTTTTATACTCGGACATTATGTGTAAATATCTTAGATTTATTGTGCGTGTCTTGGTCTGCCTGTTCAGAGTTGTTCTTGTGTCATTGCAAAATTAATCAAACATTTTTGCTTTGATAAAATTGAACAGATAGGTCAGTTTTAGATGCATAGGCAGATTTAAAGCAAAGTATGAACATAGTGAATGCGTATAAACATCTTCTTGACCATGTAAACAGAAATTCATTGTTGGCTTACTGAACCAGTGAGGCTCAGTCTTTGATTATCGTGGTTTCTTCTAAATATTCGTCTGTTAATCTCTGGGCTCAGCCGTCTTCCCAGGCGATGTCCATTTCTGGCTGAAATCTCACAGGTTCATTACAGAAGCCGCATCCATTTAAAAACATGTTGAGGATTAGCAGAACATCTTTTTTTCCGTGTTTATGTGAAGATTAACATGTAATGTCAAAATTTGGGCTCATGCAGAATCACATGAAAACAAAAGCATCTTTCAGCTTTTGGATTCACGGCACTTCTGTTGCTTTGCTGCCAGTGTTATTTTTGTCTTCCTGTTTTTAAGTTGGTCATAAACTTGTTTTCCCTGAGCTCTAACATGGCTGCAGCAGAAACATCTCTGTTTCTATAATCTATGTGTTGAACAAAGAAAAGTAAACCTTCATCCTATTTCTTCTTTTCTACAGAATGTGCTTCCAGACGGCTCACTTTTACATCAACAACATGTCGTCACCCCGAGTCATCACACAGTCTGCTGCTGCATCAACATCTGGTAACACACACACACACACACACACACACACAGGCATACAAATACATATGAATGAAAATCTGAAAACATAAATCTCATTCTTGTTTTTGGCAAATACTGCTTTACAAATTTAAATTTCTAACTACTATATCACTTTGCCTTCATATGTAAAATGCATGTTACCACATTTTTTGAACCACAGAATGTCTGTTATGTTATAACTGATGCTTCAAAAGTGTCCACATTATAAAAGATATCCAAACTCGTGCAGAGCACCAATGTTTAACAAATACTGCTGACCAGTCCAGCTGACCAGTGCTTTCTTCTCTAAAGAATTTAAGAAAAACATCATGTCCTCTCTGTCTTTAAGGTTCTTAATGTATTCTTCCAGAGGGCTTCTGTGGATGATTTTTGCCAAAACTGAAAAAATGAAAAGAAGATCAGCTTTGGAAATAAAGTTGCCTAAAATCCATTTTCCCAAAAATGTCTGGTATCTGTATCATCTGTATTCCATGTATTTAATTTTCCTTCTTAAATCTTCCAGGTGAGGACACCGCTTTTCTAGTGACGGACTTTGTCAAACACGTTGCTGAACTTCACAGCACTCAGGGCTTCACAGCAGAGTTTGAGGTATGAGACCAGGAACATTTCTGTACTTGTGATTCCAGCTGTCATGTGCAGACATGCTGTGGCTGGCATGCAGCTCCTGGATGTTGTCCCTGTCACTAAACCATGACGCATGGCTACAGCCAGTAGCGCAACTGCACATTATTCTGGTGGATGTGAAAACATAAATCACCCCCGCCCCCAAGGCAAGGGGTGAGAGGGTGAAACTCACGCTAGATTTACCTCATCATGTGCGTGAGGTGAAGGAGCATAAGGCGCGCTGAAGTGTATGGGAAGACATAATCGGCGCACCGCCCCATCCAGACGGGGTTTTGGCGCCCCCTCTGGTGCTGCGCCCCTATGCGTTGCATGCGCTGCATACCCACTTTTTGCGCCACTGGCTACAGCATTGTTTGACTAATATTGATTCTGGGATCATTAATGATCCATGAATAAATAGAATGAACTGAAATTAGTTTTTTTATTGCAGATTTAAATCCCAAAAAATGTTATCTTTATTCATACAGGTCGTCTCATTGAGATCCAAGATCTCATTTAAAGAGTTTTGTTTAAAAAAACAAACAAAAAGTTATAAACACAAAAAACAAGTAATTAGGAGATTTGACTCAATTAAATAAACTAATAAAATATTAGCTAAAAACAAAAGCAAAATAAGCTTAGAGCCCTCTCAAAATGCCTGTTGACTGTGACTGCAGTTGTTCACATGGTTTGTGAGGAGCCTCCCTTCATTCTTGTGAACAGGAAGTCACTTGTGTCTTTTCTGTTCACTGACTTAGAATGAATCCAGGTCCAGCTTTGTCCTCAAACTGCCACCAAAGAAAACAATATCCCAAAGACGTTACAAAGACATTTTAGTGATGATGATGATGATGATGATGATGGGAATTTTTTGTGAAATTAAAGGTATCTTTAATGCAAACTGAACCTTTAGAGATGAATCAATCAGAATAGAGCACTTTCTCTGATTTCTTACTAGTTTCACATAAAGTAATGTACCATTACATTACTAGTGCAGTGAAGCTTGATAGAAAAGTAGCTGTTTGACTGGCTGTTAACATTAACCTCATAATGAATAATAAAATAATGAATAATGACTAAAAGATCTTTTGGCAATCAGTTAGTCATTAACTAACAATAGGAAGCTCATAAAATGTAATAATTTTACATTTTATGAGCTCACAGAATGTAATGTTTTGGCTGCAGCCTCTCAGCTCTGCACTGTAAGCCAGGACAACCTGTGGTTCCTTCTGGTTGGACAAAATGTTTATTTTTTATCTCTTTTGACAACAGTGTTGTGGAAAAAATTGTCAAGCACTGCTAGATGAAATCACTCAGTTAGGTTTATTTGTATATTATGCACAAGACAGAGCTTAAAAGACGATCAGTGATGAACAAGCCAGATTAACAGCTGTGAATGAAAGTTCTGCCAGTCGACACATGGATTTTATACCAAGAAATCCAAAACCAGGGTCAGTCGGTCTGACTCCCAGGCAGCTGCAGGAAAACAGCATCCAAACTTGTGTGTGTGACCCAAACAGGTTCAAGGTGAGAGTTCAAGGGCACTTAGAATGCGTACATTGTATAACTTTATTATACCTTATTTTAATATTTTCTACCACAACTGTTTGGGTAAATCAGCTGCTTGGTTCACCAGCTTTTGATTATTTTAGCCTGACCTGTAATCCAAATTTCACATGTGTTGCTATGCAAATAAATTGTGTTTGTGAAATTAATTCTTTTTTTTTTCTTCATGTTCTGTCCAGCATTTCTGGCATACTGTATTCAATTCAATTTATTGATATAGCGCCAATTCACAACAAATGTCAGCTCAAGGCACTTGAACTGGATGAAAAAATAACTCGGTTCTGACACCATGTAGTATTGTTATGGTAAATAATAAGCAGCTCTTACCTGTAGAGTGTTTTATCAAATCCAGAGAATTTCATACACACATTCAGACAAGCTATCAGCTATGGCTACTACATTACAGCCACAGCTGCCCTGGGGTAGTCTGATAGGCAGCCATGCACCAGTGCCCCCTGGTGGCACCAGCAGCAGTGAATGCAGGTGAAGGGTGTTGCTGAAGACATTCAGGTCCATGTTTCCTGATCACTGTAGTGAAATCTCAGCAGCTGATACCTGAGTCTTTTATCATTAAAATTTTCTGTATGCTCACAGTTGGGGGAAGGCTCAGAGCTGCAGCTTTGTGATTATGGCATGAATGGAGGTGTTTTTGTAGATGCATGAACATGAAGGACCACAGAGAGGCAGAGGCCGTGGGAGCAGCCAGATGCTTCAGGGTTGATGAAGCATTTTCACATAAATGAGCACATGAATTTGTTCATATGCCTGATAGAGGCAAGTGCAGTGTTTAACTGTAGTTTTTTCCATTTGTTTTTTGGTTTATCCAACCAAAGGGAGTTTCCCTTTGGTTGGCCTTATTTGTAACTCTTGCATCAAACTGTGTACTTGTTGTTTTCTTTTTGTGTTGTCTTGTAATTGTATATTTTGCACTTCTCTGGTTGTCTGTGTTGTCATGGAAATATCCGGACTGCCTACTGCTTCCTCACACTCATCATTAGACACTGAAAGAGAGTTATGAGGTAAGATGCTCTCCTTCAGACTGTGTGAATGATCCTGATCCTGCATCAAACGGTAGATATGTGTCATCTCAGAAATGCCTTCCATATGAACATTTCTAATTACTATACTTACTTACTTACTTATTTATCACCATTTAGAGTTCTTGACTCCAAATGATCCTCATTCATTCATTCATTCATTCATTCATTCATTCATTCATTCATTCATTCATTCCTTCAATCATTGTTGGTGATAACACCATATCAGATATCATAATAAATAATAGAAACAGCTAAACCTATTCTATTTAAAACATGCCTTATCTACAGATCTCAAAGTCAAGGTTAGCAGAGGACTCTTACACAGTTTTAGTAATGAGGCCAAAGTGGAAAGAAACAAACCTTTACTATGTCGATGTATTTTTTAAATGTATTTCTAATATTTCTGTCGATAGTCAGATTCACGCCAGATGTCAGTAATGACATAATGACACATAGTGACCTTGTCCAAAAAAAAAAAAGATTTCTATTTCCTAAATGAAAGAACAGGGAAAGAGAAATTTGGGTAACATTTTATTTGATAGGATGTGCATAAGACTGACGTGACGTTTGTCATGAAGATGTCAGAGTTTTCATGAATGTTTATGACTGTTGCTGTGAAGTGTCATTTGTTAAATAGTGATATTTTTTACAAGCAGATGCATTCTAATATGTATGTAATCAATCATACATCACAAGAGATCAGAAATTCAGTAAATTTGAGTATTGATCTCACTGCCAAAGGCCTTAAAGACAGAATATAGTCCAGATAAAATTAGAGTAACAGAACACAGACATGTTTGAAAAACAGGCATGATCTGAATAAAAATCTCTCTGCAGCAGGTGGCAGGCAATTTATTTACTTTAACAATGGGCTGTGTATGAAATGACAACAGCAGATATGGCAGCAAACCACTCATAATTTCATCCTCAGTCTTAGACTTGAATTTTTTTGGTGCTTGTGTTTCTTATAGGATGTGCAGGCTTGCACAGTGGACATGTGGATGACCTCAGACAGCTCCAACCATCCTGACAATAAGACCAAGAACAGATACAACAACATCTTGGCCTGTGAGTCCAAATCAGTTTAGTACTAACTGGTTCTACAGACCTCACAAAGAACAAATGTGGTAAAAACGCGTGTGTGTGTGTGTGTGTGTGTGTGTGTGTGTGTGTGTGTGTGTGTGTGTGTGTGTGTGTGTGTGTGTGTGTGTGTGTGTGTGTATACACATATTTCTCCTGTTTCACGCCTAAGAGCAAAGTGCTCCAGTGCACACTGAAAGTTGTGGTGTGGTGATGTCAACACCATCTCTTTGAAATGCAAATATGGGAACCCGTGGTCATTTACAACAATCTCCACATCCTTGAGATCTTAGTTTTAGACACTCCTGCCATCATCTGTTGGGGCAGCAGCATCAGAACCAAGAACTTAAAAAGGCTCAACAGCCTGATGAGGAAGGATGGTTCTGTTCTGGGGAATGACTGTGGAACCTTTGGAGATGATTATTCAAAGAATTCTTCTTCATAGGATCAAGAAAATTATGGACAACCCTGACCATTCTCTTCATGAGAATGTATTGGAAAGGCAGAGCATCTTGGGTCAGAAGCTTCTTCAGACTGAGTGCAGTACAGACTGATGCAGGAGAACCTTATTGCCAACAGCCATCTCCATGTTCAATAACTCTTTGAAGAATCTAAATTAATAAGTTGCAACAACATTTAATTAATAAAGAATTTTTGAATTTGATAGAGACAAGAGGACAGGGGACTTTAACCCTCCTCTGAGACAAGTTGACTTTGAGGGAAGAATGCATACATAGCTGTCGCTTTGGGCATAAAAGATTGAACAGCCATGGTATCCCAGATTCTCTATAAAATGCTTAAGGTAGCACAGTTATTGGTCACAAAACAATAGACTGGGCAGCCAAATTCTCATAACCCCTTCACCAGTTCTGGTTCATTGTTTCATTGCCAAATATAAATATGCCTTTATTAGACGTTCAACAACTGGTGAGTGACTCCTTTTCAATGTAACAAAGCAAGCTTTCACACTGAGGACTGTGATCACTAAATAGTTAGAGCACAATTTAAAAAATAGAAAGCTTTATGATTTATTTTTCATATTTTTCTGATCCAGTTTTGTTTTCTTCTTTAACCCTCAGACGACCACAGCCGGGTTCAGCTTTCCCCACAAGCCAGCAAAGATGGAAAAACCACCGATTATATCAATGCCAACTATGTGGATGTAAGAAGTTGTTGGTTTCATTTATAGGAAAATTGATTCTACAAGTCGATTTGTAATACATAGAAAACACAGTTTAAACGTGTTGTTAGACAATGTAAATGTATTTAAGTCAAACAAAGTTCTGTTCTGGATCACTGTCATTCACACATTATGAAACTCCATTTAGCAGTAAAAGTTTTTTCATTTTTTTCCGTCTCGCTGTGCTGAGTCTGTATTCCAATAAAGTCTGTTCAGCTACACTTTGGAAACTTTACATCAAGATCTAGAAGAGCATTTTAAAATGAGGGATCCCAAGGCATCATGTCCAACCATGGGACCTTCATGTTTCTCTCCCTGCCTACTTTCCTGTTTGATTACTCAGAATAAAGTAACTAGTACTGCAAAAAAATATTCAAAAATAACAAACCACGGCAGCAGCATAATGTTTCTTACAATGCTCAAAAAACATGCTTTGTTAGGAATCAAGGGAGACCAAACAAGCCCCAATTCCTGTAAAGACAACATGAATCCTCCAGGCCTTTGCATGAAGCCTGTCACACTTTACAGCTTCAGTCTACATCACTGTGAACATGAATCACAAGGTGGTAAAAGTTTTGCTGTTCCAACATCTTTCAGAATGTGATGCAGGAATGTTACTGAAATTATTTTGATGATAAAAGATTAAGAAATTTTACATGAGAAAAGTATCTGAATAGTTTTCATACACTCTGTTGTAGTCGTTCTTATTATAGTCTGAGTGAGAGAATTCTGCCCCTTTTACAGGATGAAAAGTAACTACCAGTAAGTGTGTGATGCACAATGACAGTAAATGTGGGTACGTGTTTTTTTTTTCCATGCTGAAGCAGGTGCTCTGTGTTCTGTAGGGGTATAAGAGGCTGCGGTCATACATTGCTGCTCAGGGTCCTCTGAGGTCCAGTACTGAAGACTTCTGGAGGATGATCTGGGAGCAGAATGCCCACATCATTGTCATGATCACCAACCTGGTAGAAAACGGTCGGGTGAGTAGACGGCTTTGGTCCCACTGGAAGAAATTGAACAAGTCTTCTGTCATACCAACAATAAGGCTAAATCAAACCTGAGACACAAATCAGCATTTTTATCACTTCTGTTTTTGCAGCTCATCTGTTTTTGTGTGTCCTCAGAGAAAATGTGATCAGTACTGGCCAGCAGAAGTGCAGGAGGAATACGGGCCGTACCTGGTGACTGTAAAGAGTACCAAAGTTCAGGCTTACTACACACACAGGACATTCAGTGTGAGGGATACCATCACTAAGAAGGTCAGATGATGGAACTAACTTTCAATTACAAATCTTCATCTAAATATTTCTGAAGCACCAACTCACAACACATCAGAGCATTATTTTCAGTTCAGTGTTCAAATTATCTTGAACAATGAAAGTTTCTGTCTAAGGAAATCAAGCAGAGCATTGAGTCATTGACTTGCAGCATTCACTCCTCCTGGACATAGCGACAATCGTTTGCGTTGTCACTGACTTTACATCAATCCCTCATTCTAGTGAGCAGGCATGTATTGATAGTGGAGAAGAAAAACTCCCCTGTAGCAGGAAGAAACCTCAAGCAGAAGCAGAACCAGATTGTCTTCTCAAGACAATCTGCTCTGTCTTGAGAAGACTTCAAGAATACAGGTGATAAAGATGAGCTCATTTGCCTGGATTAATTTATTTATTTCTCTCATTGCTCATTGACATACCAGAAGCTCAAAATTTAAAGTGGGAAAAAACAAACATCCAGATTCATTTGGAAGGGAGCAAAACTTAGAGAGAAATTCAAAACCCTCCAGCTAACCATCCCCAGATTTTATATCTAGGATTGTTCACTAAAATGAGATAAGGAACAATGCATCCATTTAACAAAAGCCAAGAATGCAGCCACAACACTGAAATCTAACTTCATCAATCACAATGCAGGATGGAGTGTGTTAAAAGCCCATAAAAAATCTACAAATTTCAGCTTGGCATGTTTTCCGGACATCTGTTCTGCTGTCTCAATAATTCAGTTTTAGACTCAATAATGTCAACAGATCATTATTCCACAAGTTATTTTTTTTTGGCCGGGTTCTTTCTGCCAAACATCAGTCCAGCCTTAAGGAGAGACGGCTGCTCAGATTGAACCGAATTATACTGGAGGTTGAAAAGAAATTCTCCTTTCCACAGATATCACATGCATGGTCATTAAGTGGGATTGGTGCAAAGTTAGTTGATTCAACTATCCACTGATGATAAATGCTCCTCTGGCAGAAGGTACAAAGTCTGGGTCTCAATATAGTTGGCTTGGTTTTGTTAGACAACATTTTGGCAGTAAACATAATAAATTGAACTTAACTTCATTATTTTATTACTATAAACATGTTTAAAGATATTTTATAGGCTCCAGTGATCTTTATTTAATAGTACATGGACAGGAAGTAGGGAGGAGAGAGAATGGCCAGAGGCCGGGAATCGAACCCAGGACTGCTGTGTGGAGGACTCTGTGCCCACTGAGCCACCCAGCACACCACAGCTACGATTAAACTGGAATGTCTGTAACTGACTTTAAATCTCTTCATATAAATGGACTGAACTGACTGGATCTGTTTATTTTATCATTCAGATTTATTGTGAATGATGCTCTGCAAAAACTGAATTTAATTTATCAGAGTTCTAGCTGAGCAGTCTGCCATTTTCTGTCCTTCATATATTTGTTACTTTCTCCAATAAACTCTTTACTCATTCGTGTTTCTTCTTTCAAGTACACTGTTCTTAAGAATGTCGGCAGCAACCATTTTACTCAGATCTTCTAGGAATGCTTTTTAACGTGTGTACGTCTCATTCCCTGCTCTTTAAATAAGGGCCACCAGAATAAACAACCTCACTGCAAGCATGTGAATACAATTAATATATGTCAAATAATCAGCAGCATGGTGATTCGGTTTTGTTGGTTTTCTATACCTTGTTAAACTTAATTATAGATTATTTACCATGTAGCAAAATAATTTGACCCGTAACGACTGATTGATGTGGTTAGTGATATTGCACTGCCTTTAATTTGAACAAAACATTTTCTACTTTACAGTTTACTTTACATATTCATTAAAACAACAGTATGTCATTTTCCATTGGATTTGTCCATAAATTCTGCTTCAGTGCTGCAAGTTCCCTCTGATGACTTTTTGCACACCTTTATCATCACACTGGAGGATATTTATCCTCCACTCTAATCACCAGTAATCAAAGGCCAAACTTCATCCATCCGTTTTCCGTACACCTTTGTCCCTTGTGGGGTCAGGAGGGTTGTTGGTGTCTATCTCCAACAAACATTTCAGGGGAGAGGCGGGGTCACTCTGGACAGGTCGCCAGTCTGTCACAGGGCAACACAGAAACAGACAGGACACACAACCATGCACACACACAAACACACCTAGGGAGAATTTGGAGGGACCAATTTACCTGACAGTCATGTTTTTGGACTGTGGGAGGAAGCCAGAGTACCCAGAGAGAACCCACCATGCACAGGGAGAACATGCAAACTCCATGCAGAAAGACTCGGGTCAGGAATCGAACCCAGAACCTTCTTGCTGCAAGGCAACAACTCTACCAACTGCACCACTGTGCAGCCCAAGGCCAAACTTTTCAAACTAATTTGAATAATGGACTGAAGTTAATGTACTGATTGGTAACTAGGATCAGTTGGAATGTAGGCATGATTGAGTTGAAGTGACTTTTTCGTAAACTGCCTTGATTTCTACAGACAAGTGCTGTAGAAATAAACTGAATAGAATACAATTGAAAATGAACAATGCTGAGATGGACTGCTTCACGAAAGCCAGCAAATAGCAATATGCCAAGGTATTTCAGTTTCCAATATGTACAAAAAAATACTCACCAAAGATATTTCATATTTTTTGCTTAATGAGTAAAAGAAGGAATTGTTTGACGTTTAAATGCAATTTCCATTTGCAATTTTCATTTCCAGAGAAAACAACAAAGATTAGACATCAAAATGCAAACATATCTTGTTAAAAAACTGAACATGTCATGCAGTTGTCCTAATGTTTTACAACTTAAGGTGCCAGAAGTTTTCTACTTTTGAAAGAATATTGTTATTTTTGAAGTTAATGAGTTCATCCTGTATTTTCCTCCTGCAGAGCTCAAAGAAGGGATGGAGCAACGAGCGAACAGTGGAACAGTTCCAGTTCACCCAGTGGCCTGACATGGGTGTCCCAGAGTTGTCTCTGCCGCTTCTCAGCTTCATTCGCAAGTCATCCAGAGCCAACACAGACAACATGGGCCCAGTGGTGGTGCACTGCAGGTCACATGAGGCTTCCTTGTCGTCTTCACCTGATCTGATGCTGGAAGTGTCTCTGACTGCTTGTTTTGCTGTGCAGTGCTGGGGTTGGCCGGACGGGCACGTACATTGTCCTGGACAGCATGCTGAAACGGATAACACACGAAGGAACCGTCGACATTCCTGGCTTCTTGAAGCACATCCGGACACAAAGAAACTTCCTGGTTCAGACTGAGGTCAGAGTTCAACTTGCTACTTAAACACATGCAGGATTTCATACTGATAATGCAACAGAGATGAGTATGTGTCTCCTTTCTGCAGAAATAAAGCTTTTTTTTTCTTTCTGAAATCATTTATATCAGTCAATTTCACAACATGTCATCCAAAAGTCATTTCAGTATAAAAACTACTGAAATTACTTACACAGATTTTTTTTTGATTTTTTATTTCTGCACTCGTCTCCATTCAATACAATAAAAGTAGCAAGGTTGTCTGTTAGGTTTGCTTTAAAAAATACACAAGTAGAGGTTTTATTATAAACTGTAACAATATACTGTTCCTCCCTGTACAGGAACAGTATATTTTTATCCATGATGCTTTGGTAGAGGCCATCTTATGTGGGAACACTGAAGTGCTGGCAGCCCACCTTCACAGTTATGTGGATGAGCTGCTGACTCCAGGACCATCTGGGAGGACTCGCCTGGACAAACAGTTCAAGGTGAGCTGACACATTCATACAAAATTAATGGAGATTAGGGTGATGGTAGAAGGTCTTCCAAAGTCAGACTTGGAGGTCATCATCAAAAATAAATCTTCAAAATACCAGAGAAACATGCAAAAACCTGCTCAGCAGTTATAACAAGGGTTTGATAGATTTTGATATCAGTGACAATTTTTTTAATAATTACTGATGAGGATCATAAGAATGATTCTCTTTCTATGTACCTTTTAAAGGTTTTATTGGCTCTAGTGGCCTTTAGTTGACAGTGAATTGACAGGAGAGACGGTAATGAGAGAAGGGAGAAGACATGTGGCAAAGGTCACCAGGCCAGGAATCGAACCTGCGACGGCCACGTCGAGGACTAAGATCTGCTCCGTTGAGGCAAATCCACACATTGATTTATTCTAAGCATCTGTTCAGTGCTTGGTTCGATTCAGAGTTACCTGGGGACATCATAATGTAGAGCTGTGTATGATCTGCATAGTTAAAGTAACTAATCTTTTGGAACCCTAAATCAGCTGATTTATCAATCTTATCAATCTACCTTGACCTGACCTACTGACCTCTGTTGCTCTGCTGTGAAAGGCTTGACTGACAGACTCACCCACCAGGTCACGTCTGCATGTTTGTAGTTTATAATACTAGTTGTTGACAACTCAGTGACTTTCTTGCTATACTTAACATTTCAGACAAAAAAATCTTTATCAGCCAAAATCAAAATCAGCATGTCAGACTTTGTAAAGATCTGTACTTGGTGATCGGTGCACCGCTTCTACTGTTATAACTTGAGCTAGCTGGAGCATACAAGTAATGAATAACTGCTGTCATAGGGCTGAACCTGCATGTGACTTCTGTCCACTTTGAAGAAACCATATCTACTGAAAGAAAGACATCCCTGTTCTTTAAGTAAAATTCTAACCAGTTAAGTACTGGACCAGAGTCCTACCCAACTCTCCAGTCACTTTAATAACAAACAGTGTCAAATGCTGTGCTGAGGAAGTCCAACAGAACCAGCACTGTTGGCTGTCAGTGGGGAGTTGATGAGGGAGGGGTCAGGATAGACAAACTAATTGTGCTCAGATTCATGTGTCCTCATACTTTCAAACATGCATTTCTTCTGTGCAAATGTACTCGTGGATTTAAATACTCTTTATTTTGATAAGAAATCTGCACGAGTCTTTGTATATCAGGCTCCATTTTTTGATTATCATTAGTTAGGACAGCAGAACCTAAAGGTTAGCCGTTTTCTGTTCTCCACAGCTGGTGTGTCACAATGAAGTGAACCAGAGTGATTTCTCCATCGCTCTGCAGGACAACAACTCCAGCAAGAACAGGGACTGCTCTGTGATACCTGGTGAGACTGCCTCATGGTAACACCATGAACTGCTGGAACACCACATCAGTCTCAGTCACACATTTAAATCTTTCCACTTCAGCTCCTGTTCACATGATCCACAGAGTAATTAACCTCATCTCTTCTCTCTGTAGCTGAGAGGTCACGAGTGCGTCTGTCTACAACAGCTGGAGAGACGGCCGACTACATCAATGCCTCATTCATCACTGTAAGACCAGCAAATCTCTGTTGTTACTAAATCTTAGCCAGAATCATATGAGAGGATGAAGATGTGTTTCATGACGGTTCCCATAGCAATTGAATCTCTCTTTTCATTAACACACAGGCGAAGGAGCCTGTTGACGGCTTCGTTACTGTTCTTTAAAGTCAGCCTTCAATGTTTGTGCATCAGTGTGTAATGGCCTGGACCGATTGCTGTTACATTAGCATAAATGTTTCATCAGCATATTCCTCCTAATGAATCAAGCTATAAAAACTTTTCCTCTCTATGAGAAACTGCAGATGAAAGCAGTGGTTAGGTTGTTTTTTATCCTCAGGGAAGCACAGGGCCTTCATGCTTCACAGGTTTATTTGTTCTGTGATGTCATTGAGGGATCAAATGGTCTTCCAGTAATTTCTTGAACTATTTGGAGCTTTGATCTCCTGTATAACGGTATGGCTTTGTTTTGCAGGGCTATAGACTAAACAGAGAGTTCATCATTACCCAGAATCCCCTGCCTGGCACCATAAAGGACTTTTGGAGAATGATATGGGATCACAATACCCAGGTCATCATCTCACTGCCTGGGGTAAGCAAAATCGATTCATTTCAAATGGTATTTGAAATGAATCGATTGAAATTAATTTCAAACGATTCATTTCAAACCTGGAGCCCACACTGAAAGGTTTCAGCTGTGGGCTCCAGGACAAAACACTTCCCTTCATTTTATCAGAAAAATAACAATTTTTGGTACAACTTCATTGTCATATTTGACACATTATTCTATACCCCTCCCATTTATTTCAACTCAGACTGAGACTTTCTGGACCAGGTAGCACATTGTTATTGTCTAGCTTCCTGTTCTGAGCTAGTCAGAGTGACACCTGCTGGGGTCTTCTGCTCCTGCAGCCCACCTGCTTCAAGGTTCCACTTTCTGTACATTAAGAGTTCATTCACAGCGTCCTTCATCCATTGGTTGGAACCAGCTTCTGTTGTCTTTATATCTTTGTAAACCAGCCTGGCCATTATACTCTGACCTCAGCAGGACATTTCTTCCCACATAGATGCCACTCCCAGGATATTTTCTCTTTTTCAGATGAACAACAGATACTGACAACCGGAACCTGCTGGGTCAAAGTGGCTTAGATCCCACGTTGTCCTCATTCTGATGCTCACTTTGAACTTAACCAATCTTCAACTCAGTGCTGAGTTGAAGATTCAACACTGGTTGATTCTCTACTTATGTCCACAACTGAACAGCTGATCCTAGCTTTGAGTGTACATGACAATAATTGATCTCCTACTTTTTGTTGTCTGATAATGTACAGTCATTTTCATTCAAAGAACTGTTAAAGATTGTTCCCATCTCCAGGAGAGCCACGCCCTCCCTCCTCCCTCCTCTGCTCTGGGATATTTCCTGGAGCAAAGCTCAGCTGTCAGTTAGCATTAGCCTTTCCCTGTCTTTCTGTCAACAGACTGCAGAGGAGGCGGAGCTCTGTGCCCTGTGTCCTGGCAATGATCAATCCATCAGCTTCAACATGTTCACTGTGACCCAAAGGAGTGAGGCCCACATCTGTCTGTCCAATGAGGACATGCTGGTGGTCCGGGAATACACCCTGTCTGCTGCAAAGGTTAGCCTAGCTTCTTTTGCACCATGATGTTCTTAATAATAGCAGACAGTGTGTGTTGCAAACAAGTGTTATATAAGCCACTAAAACATCTGAGGCTTCCTAATTTCACTTCAGCACATAAATAAACTATTATTGTGATCTTACAACACAAAAGTATCACTGAAGCTGTTCTTACAACTCAAAGACTTTGTGTGCAGAAGGCATCTGGTTGGTATGTCAACTCTTCTCTTCTGGACAGGATGACTTTGTTCTTGAGGTGAAGCATTTCCTCGCCCCCTGCTGGCCGAACCCTGACAGCCCCATCAGCAACACCTTTGAGCTCATCAGCCTGGTGAATGAAGAGAGGGCGAGCAGAGACTGTCCCACCGTGGTCCATGATGAGTAAGACCCTGTCCAGCCCGTTAGCATACTTTTTGGATGTTCTTTTTCCAAAAGGTTTTACCAGTCCTGTTTTTTTTCTCCTGCAGTGTGGGCGGAGTCACGGCAGGAACATTCTGTGCTCTGTCGTCCCTAAAGCAGCAGCTGGAGGCTGAAGGTTCGGCTGATGTGTTCCAAGCAGCCAGACTGACAAACCTTTTGAGACCAGGAGTCTTCAGTGATGTTGTAAGTCTCACAGCCAGTTTATTACAGATCTGTTTGTTGCACTTTTTAGTCCAACATTTGAGTTGAGGATAAATGCAGTTCAACTCATTTGCAAACACATCTTAATACATTTAATTGGAATGTTGATGATGAATTATTGTTTTTTACAGCAAATGAAAATTACAAATTTAGTCTCTCAGAAAATTACAGTATTACACCAGACCAATAAAAAGGAATGTGAGCTTAATGAACAGTATGTCCATGTACTGCACAGTGTCTGCACTCAGCTTCTGGCCGGACTCGTTTTGCATAAATTATTTCATTCAAAAGGACAGAGGAGACCAGCCTGTGGTTCTGACGAGGTTGCTTCGGTAATTTAATCTTCATCCTGACCCAAGGATTCTGTACTGGTCAAGGCCAGGCCAATTTGTTGGTGTTACCATGGTAATTGAAGCAGATGTTATCCTTATTGGCAGTGAGGACAGGTACCAAAATAAAATAAAATCATCATCTCCATACAGCTGGTCAGGTGAGGGAAGCATTAAGTGCTCTAGGATTTCCTGGTAGATGGTTGCATTGACTGTGGACTTCAGAAAACCCAGTGGACCAGAACCAGTACATGACATGGCACCCAGATCACCAGTGGCTTCTGTTCCTCTCCACTCTTCCTCCAAACTCTAGGATCTTGATGTGCAACTGCAATTCAAATGTGTTAACTGAAAAGGATCGTGACAGTTCTAGCTCATGTTGGGTGTTTGGTGGCGTTTGATGCTCCAGCATCAGTTCACACCGTCTAAATTTAAACCAAACACATTTGTTTTCAATTTAATTACATTTCAAGTCAGTGTATTTGTATAACACCAACAGAATAATAAGAAGTTCTGGACATGTTTTTCCAAAGAACTAAAACAAAAAGGAAAATTCAATCCAGTCATACAAACAGATTCTAAGTCAAGTACATAACCTCCCATCTGATCCTGGTTATCAAGCAATGCATCAAGTTCAATTTATCATTCATGTCAGTTTAAAAGTTTCTATCTAAGGAAATCCAGCAGATTGCATTTAGTCATTGACTTACAGCATTCACTCCACCTGGACAAACAGTGACAGCGCAAAGGAAAAGTCTGCTTTAACAGGAAGAGACATTCAGCAGAACAGAACCAGAACCAGAACTAGAACCTGGCTCAGTGCCATCTGGGGGCTAAAGAAGTCAAAATTTTGCTACACAATTGTCTCAGGGCTAAAGTTATCGCTGTTGTTAGGGCACAGATTTCAATCAACTGTTACTTTCCACTCAATATTCCATTTCTAGAAACTTGGATACAGCATTCCGAGTCGCTGGCTTCTTCAGCAATATCTTTTTCAATTCGGTTCAGTTTGATTGAGAAATGCTTTATTAACCCAACAGGAATATTAAATGTTGACTGATACCATATGGTTTTCTTCAAAGAAGCTTATTTTACAGAGGATTTCAGTGACTCTCCTTGACAACTGTCAAGTCAGCAGTCTGACCCATGGCATCAGACCATTCCTGTAATTGCTGTAATAATATTCAAATGTTATAAAAATGTTTTTACTTTCAGCTGCTGTAATCCAGAATCATCAATACTAACAGAAATAAACACCTGAAAGGAACTTTTCAATGATATTCTGATTCACTGATGAAAATCTTTCAGTTCATCTGTATAACAGCCTATTAAAGCCCCCTCACCGAAAAGCTGGCTAAACCTCGGATTGAGTCTGTTACTGTGAACCAAATAAAGTAAAATTTAGCTCCGAGTTGATGCTACCTGGGTTTATCTTACATGTGTGTTAAGCAGAAAAGTAGCAAGAAACTGAGTGGAGTGTGTTTTTGCAGGAGCACTACCAGTTCCTGTACAAAGCCATGCTGAGCATCATCGGAACACAGGAAGCAGAGAAAACCGTCCTGTTCTCTGACAATGGAACCACCACTGACAGCCTTGAATCTCTTGTGTAAAAAGTCCTGATAGAATAAGTTGTTCTTTATGTTCTTCAAGCACCAATAGAATCTCTTGACAGAATTTATTCAGGCAGATTCTTAACAGCTTTGCTGAATTTGGACTCTTTCTGCTTTTATATTGTGTGCCTTTTGTTTTCCTTCTGTTGTAGTTCAAACTTTGTTACTTTTTATACATTAACTGTCCAAGGTTTTAATGTACCAACCTGAAAATTTGTACTAAACTCTTTCTAAACATTGTATTTATTGGCACTGTGCCTAAAGAGGGAAGCTGCAACTTTTCACATCAAATGTTTTCCATGGCTCTGCCACTGGAATCTATTCTGTGAATACCACTGCAACAGTAGCTACAGTGCTAAACAAGATGAGGATGTGGAATAATAAAACGTTCGAATGTAAATAATATGGTAATCACTTTGATGGACCAAATTTCTATTTATACTTCTAGATTCTATATTTTTAGTGCAAATAAATGCTTTGATTCTGTTTAGCTGAAGATGATTAATAATTTTATACTCAGTTTTGTGACAAACTAAATGTGTTGCATGTGATTACTGCCTACGTAGATCTTTAGTTGGATGTGAAACACTGCTGGAGTCTTACATTGGGAATTAAAGGGATAAAGTGAAAGAACTGCAAACTAAAAATCTGTTGGTTCATTAAAGTGTTGCTATGTAAGCTTGCAAGCTGCAATTACTGAAAGAAGATAGTTTCTATTAAAACCATTTGTGTGTGTGCGTGTATAAACATACATCTATAACACACAGAAGTTACCAGAAGGTATCCCTAGTGCTTCACCGTTTCCACACGTCATGTTGCCATCATGTCTAAAAGTAGGACCCAAATGCAGACAATTGGAGAGTAAAGGAAAGTTCAACCAGAAATTCTAACACTTTGTGTCAAAAACCACTGAAAACAAGTTCAAAAAGCAGTAACAGAAGATTCTTATCTAATATTCAATGGCAACTTGTTCCACAAATGAACAGAAAAGAGTCAATCTTGGAGCTTCAGCCTAGAAGCTGGTTTTGGTGAAACATTGAACTGGAGCAAGTCGGAGAGGTAAGGAGGAGCCAGACCATTAGGGCATTTAAAGGCCAAGAGTAGGATTTTAAAATCTATTTTTTGTTGCTCTGGAAGCCAATGAAAGGATGACACACAGGTGAGATGAGTTTGTTCAGCTGATCATCTCCCACACTGCTTAGACAGGTGGACTGGTTTCTTTACAGTAAAACTTATTTTAAAACAAAAACCAAAAGTTCTTTATAAGTTTGGGTCAAGTGAGGAGGCGGCCATCTTTCCATCAGTGATCCATCAGGAGCCACTCATCAAATCTTTGAAATCTTTAAAGATCTGTCTTCAGATATTTCCTGTCTCCCCACTTCATGTTTCAACCCGTCTTGTTTTGTGAAGGGAGGGGGCGTGGGGCAGGATATCCCAATTTGAATTTCTGTTGAAAACAGAGTCTGGTTCAACCTGTGGATTATACAAATTCCCTTTATGAAGTTATTTATTATCCCTGCACCATTTCTTACGAGTTAATCCAGGCTAAGACTCTGTAAGAAATGCGTCTTTTCAGGTCAGAAAATAGGTCAAGAGCCCAGAAATTGTCCTGACCTGCTGCCAGATCCGCAACTTCATTTACATTTTTGACTTTTAATAATTACATCCCCAATTATCCTCTGCTTGGTGGCCCAGTTTGCTTGGCTGCCTCCAAATCAAGCAGAAGTAAAAACCCCAGTCACCAATTTTTTTTTTTTTTTTCCTGAGTGAGAACTCAGCTGGAGATCAAGGAGCTGACGGGACTCTGCAGCAGCTGCATTTACTGGTTCTGGGCTAAAACAGATCATGATCAATGAACATCAGTCTACACAGTGACTGATTATCATATGATTATGCCTACCATCATGCCTATGGTCAGATTTGTTGGTCTAGAAATGCCAAGATTGCTTTCATAAGGATGAAATAAAACTTCCTCAAAAGTTAACAGTGTTCACTGAATATCATTGTTCCTCAGTGAACAGTGAATAATCTGTCAGATAAACACCAACAGATCCAGAGTTGATCTGTCAGAAAATTGTGATTTTACACAACTTAGAAATTGAAGCGTCCTGTCCTGTCAAATAAAACAAGTTCAGTCAGACAGGAGTGTTTAAAATCTAGACTTGTGAATAAACCAAAAAGTTCCTGGGTCCAGGAGGTAGACGCCACCACACATATAAAGTTATTTTTCTGACAGATTATGAACAAACTTTGGCTGTAAACGGCAAAATATGCATTTTCCACAATAACTCAAATGATTCTAAAGTATTTAGATAAATATTGAAACTGTATGATCTACTTTAATGCTTATTTTTTTTAAGAAATCATCAGAAGACTTTACAGGAGTTTAATTATGTAACCGTTTCATTTCTGTCAAAAAGGAAAAACAAACAAAACCCCACAACAGAAGTACTTCAGATAATTGTGACCTCAAACATTTAGAAAAAGAATTTTAACAAGCAGTTCATGCTGGAGTTTTATGGAACTGATCTCTCCAGAAATAAAACTGAATTACATTCTAAAGCCTCTCAGTCCTGATATCTACACATTACAGACATTTGTTTTAAGATGACATGGAGTCATCTATATCTATAAATATATATCTCTGCTATATGCAAAATACTTTCTTTTCACTATTTGAAGAGAATGAGAACCTGTGTTCGATGGATGAAACTAGTCTAGTTTTAGTCAGTAAATATCAGATCAGCATGCTACCAGCGTAGCTTGTTTTCTACTAATAATGCAACAGTCAAACATTTCTACTTAATGTCACTAAAAGCATACAAATAGATGTAAACATTTGTATCCAGAATCATTTTGCTGATGAAGCTAAAGTACTACATAGTCATAAGAGAAAGAAAGAAAACATTTCTAAGGCTTTGCTGTTTGACAGACATCTATGTGGAACTGCTCCAGAACTGTTGGTGCACTTTCTAAAAACATCAGCTGGGAGCTCCAGTCAGGCTGGATGAGGTCCAACTTCAGTTTGGAGAACATTTCTTACAACATGAAGACAACACTGACATCTGTTTAAGAGGATTTCTTCTTCTGGTTTCACTCATGTTGTCTGACCTAATTATTTTCCTCTGATACCGATGGACAAGTTAGGCAAAACATTTGAATTATTGAATGTATTCTAAATTTCTGACCTGAGACTGCAAATTTTGAGCATGAATTTCATTTAAACTATTTTAACTAATTATTCTATGGATTTCCAAATTTGTTGATTTTTGACTCATATCTATTCTGCCAACTGCTGCTTTCACATTTTTATTAACACTTAAAGTTTTATATGACAAGCGAGTAGGTCTAGCAAAAACATTTCTCAAAAAAATAAAATAAAATAATCAGACAAAAGCAGACAGATGAGTTTTATAGTGTTAAAGGAACCCGTGTAAAGTTATCAAAAGCTGATTTTATCCACTTTCAAAGTTCTTTGGATTTCTGCAGGTTCTCTAACATCTGCAGACTATGTTCTACTCCTGCAGGATGCTCTTGGATATGATGTGCAGTCCTTCCTCCTTGAGCCGAGCCAACGCCAGCCCATAGATGTCATTGGTCATTGGGACCAGCAGACCTTTTCTACTGATTTCCCCTACAGAGAGAAAAAAAAGTGTTTGGTTCTGCTGTATCAGTGTGGCTCATGAGAAAAACCAACAGCAGCAGCAGTCGTTTCTGGCAAATGAAAACATTTCCATTCACTTCACAGACAGCTATCATTTGAACTTAGTGACAATGTTAACTGTAGCTTGTTTGCTAACTTTAAACCATTCCATTTTTAAGTTTCTTTTTGCTAACTTCTAAACTTAAATCAGGATTTTATTAGGTAAAATGCTCATGTTGCCATGTTATCTTACATTACTTGGCTTATATGATTAAGCTACCAAAATGCAAATGCTATCTTATATGCTAATGTAAGCTGGTAAACATATGTGTTGGTTAACATTTGCCTTATGCTAATTTAATTTATACTAAAATTTGCTAAAATATTATTTTAAATGGTGGAATCACTTGATCTTTTATGCCCAACTTTTAAATTGTAATCTCTCTGCTATCTCGATTGGTAGATTGTGTTTATAGGNCATTCTTTGATGGTGCTCTGTTACTTCAAATGTTATTTCAGTTATTTTTGAAGACTTCTGTTTATAATTTTATTGTGCTGAGGCACTGGATGTGTGAAGAATTATCCCCCCCTGGTTCTGGATGCTGTGCAGTTGGAAGGATTTTTCCTCTTCGTTTTTTTAGTTTAGACAGTTATAATGTGTAGCCATGGCAACAAGGCTAATTAGCTTCTCAAAAGCTCAAATAGTACTTAAGCTACATCACAATTGTCAGAGGAGTTGAAACAAAAACTTCATGGATACAAAACAGGATCGGAGAGAGGAGGAAGTTAAAACCAGCTCTACTCCAACATCTCTGTCAGGTTTTTATGATTCAACCTGATAGCGATTTAAAGAGGAATAGCAAAAGAAAAAGAGGATTAGCACAGCAAGCCAACCACAGGTTGTGACTATCAAGGCATTTTGCTGTGAATATTGTCTTTGTTGCCTGTATTACAGCAAAAAAATCTTCAGTCAGAGGCCTCTTCAAATTTGTTGCAAGACTAACTGCTGCTGGAAATCCTTCCTGGCCACAGCATCAGCATCCACAATGACTCTTTCAAGATAGTTTGATGATTTCAGTTACAACAAAATTTTTAATTTCCGTTTGCAATAAAGGATTTATGAACTGAACTGAATTAGACTGCACCGGCCAGAAATTACTTCTGACCTGATTGAAATTTTATAAATCAGTCGTTATAACTGAGAAGAATGGAGAGATAATGGTAGACTGACTAAGAGTCTCAGAATCGTCACATTCCAGTAAAAAGGGCCAAACTGGAACAATTGGGGATCTATTCAGATATTGATTCATACATTACAACTACCTTATTGTTTTTGAGGCCTCAAAACAGGCCTAACAACTAGAAAATCTTTGTTTGGAGCGTCTGTATTACTAATGTGCTAACTTATAGAGAGGCATCACTAACCATCGAGAACCATGCGGGCAGCAATGGCTGCTGGGTATCCTACAGTCTTGGCCATGGCAGAGAAACCGTTCAGTTCCCCATAGACCACCAGGCTGATCTGTCGCATCTCCAGCTCTCCGGTTGGATGTCGAATTCCCACGTCGTTCCTCATGATGATCAAGTCCCGCTCACCTTTAGCTAGATCCAGAAGAGAAGGATCATAGTTCCATGCCTGACTGTGTTACTCTGGTCAGCACCAACAATCAGCCCACTCACCAAAAGAGAGCTTGGCCTCCAGGTGCTTTGCGAGTGAAGCCAGAATGGTGTCAGCATGAGGCACAGCGTCGTCGCTCAGCATCCCCAGCCTGCAGCCACACACAAACAGCATGGATTCCTCCTCAACTTATTTTCACTTTACACTAAAGGCTCTAAATATCTGCTGCACAACTGCTGGAGCCACTCATCCTTGGACTGAGGTACAAGGATATGCAGTTGATTTTTCTGGCTTCTTTGGTGCTGAATTAAATAAATGGAGTCATTGAATTTAAGCTGTTGATCATTGAGTTTTTCCCCCTTTAACAGCAATAATGGAATAATTCCAACGGTTCTTTTCCTTTCAGAGGAATGCAGTGCTCAGTGCCTGCATGGCCCTCGTCTCTTCATCCCTGGCAGCAGGTGACCTTGGCTTGAAGAAGGTTGTATAGCTACACCACTTCAGGTGTCCTCGTCAGAGGGGGGGCTCAAAGTGGGCTCCTCTGTTGCTAAGCAGAGAAGCCACAGTAAGAGCAGCTTGATGTGCAGCATCTGCTCCCAGCCAGATCAGTCGCAGCTCAGCAGAGCTTGTGTCACTTTCATGCCAGAACAGGAAACAAAATGTTTATCAATATTTGCATTTATACTCAAGGCAGTTCATTATTCTTAATGCAACAGATACATTGCATTAAGAGTTAAGACATTGCATTGTCTTAATGAGTAATTTTAAATAATTCATATTGACCAAGGTACAGTAATTGTGATTCTAATGTTTTCCATAACTGTATGCATATCTGTATAAACTGAAGAAAAGTCATAATCAAGTAAAAATAATGTAACAAAATTCTTGTTATGAATATTCATTAGAACTTTCTATTGCACTATGAACAATCTCACTCCATTCCCACATGCGTTCACTAGGCAGCACATTGGGCGAATCTTCCAAATCACCTTCAGTCCATGTCAATAAGGGTCATTACAGTGGATGCATGTCAAGTCCTATAAGTTTGGCAGAAATCTGACAAGAATTCAGTGTGATTTTGCTGTCAGACAAGTTTAAATCTGCATGACTCAAAAAGTAAAAGGAAGACATCCAGGAGCAAAACAGGTTACTTCATATTCAAAGGGGGCAGTGATAAGGTGATGTCCCCAATTGACCATGCGAATATTAAAACTGATGCACTGTTATGACACACCAAGAGTTTCATGTATCAAACCTTAATGTTTTATGGCAAATAGCAAGATTTTGAGGCTTGGCCACACCCACATGCTTTGATGCAGCAAAAACCTTTTGATAACTTTCAATCTTCAATGCCTTAAGATTGAGCTAGAAATTTTGAAGCCAGCATGACAAAAGCTGTAGGAGGATTTTGCTCAGACACAATTTCTGTTAGACAAACAGGCGGCTTTGATCCAAAACGGTTGACTTTCTGTGGGGTTTAGCCCATGGGTCCAAGAAAGTTTTTGTAGGTTCTGACAAGATACACATGTGTACCAAA